ATGTTTAGCAAAAAAAAAAAAACATTACAAAAGTTAGAAATCACTCCAATGGAAAAAAAGAAGCAGTTTAAATTTTAAAAAAAGCCTAAATAGTCTGCATTATCATCACTATTACTATTATCATTAATGGAATCATCATCATATCTAATTTCTCCATCATCTTCCTCATCCACCAATCGCAATGTGACATTTTCCTTCCCTCTGATTCCTGGCTACTGTTTAGTTTTCTAGGTATTTCATTGTTTTGTTTAGTCCAAAATGCCTTTTGGGCCCTTTTTTATTTCTTTTCATACAATTGAAAAATCAAATTTTAAATGAGGTTCATGCCTCATGAGGCGTGCGTCTCAAATTTAGAAGCGTGAGCCTCATATTTTTAATCTTAAAAATACCGCCTCGAGACATACTACATGCGCCTCACTACTACCTTTTTAAACCATGGTGCATTATGTACGTTCAGTATCTGCATATCATGGGAAGTTGTCGTGTCATGCTAAGTTTAAATAATTATTCGAAGAAATAAAACTGCTTCGAACCATATTCAGGGAACACCCCCAAGATAATAATTCAGATCAACCAGTAGGCACAAGTACAATCCGAGCACAAAATCAGAAGCTAACACGGAAAACACAATCCAAATTGTCAAAAATAAATTACCTATCAAAATTAGAGCAATTCAATCAGGTTAGTAACACCCTAAAATGTTGACCATTAACCAAAACACACATTCATCAGAATTCTTGTAAGAAACCTAATTCACCAACCTCCGGGGACGAGAATTTACAGACTCAGGCTTCCTCCAAGTCTTCTCAGCTCTATCCTCTTGATGCAACCTCTCCCTCCCATTCCCAATCCAAGAGCTTCTCTTCGAGGCTGCCAGACCATTAGGGGACCCTGGAGCAACCTCCTTAATCTTTGTACTCTCTAGCTTCTCCTTAATCTCTTTCAAATCTTGCCCCTTCTCCTTCAACACCTCCTCCCTCGGCCTCGCCTCTCCAAATGGATTATTCCCCTTGGGCTTCACTACATTCCCATTTTCACTCTTCTGTCCTTCACCCACTGGCAGTGTTCTTGGCTTTAAATTCAACCTCGGCCTACTGGCACTCACTTCAGTCCCCTCTTCTCTTTTCCTGCCCCAAGTTTCAGAATCGGGGCTGTTCAATTCAAAACCTCCCTTTCTATCTCTCAAACTATCAAATGCTCCACCAATTCTCCGTCCCTCCTCCCTTTTCCTGGCCCAGCTATCCGAATCAGCACCGCCGTTATTGGATTCAAATCCAAAGCCACCTCTTTTTTCAAATCTTCGAGGCTCAGTGGGCATACAGGTCTTCTTGGAACCCCAATTGTCGGACTCGTCAGCCCTATTTTGCGAATCAGAGAAAAACCCTCCTCTATCTCCTCTCCTTCTTCCATCAAATCCATCGTTAACGATCGATTTCTTCCCCGCAGCCCAATTGTCCGTCTCGTCAGCCCGAGAAGGCGCAAAATCTCGATTCGAATCACCACCAAAGCTTCCCTGTCGACGATGCTGCTCAACCCTAGCCGGCCGGTCATACGAAGACCCATAAGATTTAAATCCTCCACCTAGCTGGTTTCGATCAAGCTCCTCTGCTGAGCGCTGGCGGGGTGCGGTGGGGAGATTTAAAAGCACATCAGGAGTAGGGCCCTTGTTGGCACTGTAACTGGTGAATTCCTGTAGAGACACTGTTTGGCCCTTCTTCTTTTTCTTGGTCTTTGTCGCCGCGGCGGCGGCAAGGGATGGGAAATCTGACGCCTCATCGGCGCTTCCCATAGAGTGTCCGTCGATAGAATCTTGTTTGTGTTGGTGGAGGAGGTCCGCCTCGTTTTCCTCGGAATCCAAGGCCCAAGCACCTGGTTTGCCCCATACGCTCGCCATTGTCTCTCTCTCTCTCGCTCTCTCTCTCTATGAAACCCTGTTCGTAGAGTACAGGTTTTTCGTAGATTTGCTTTGGTTGGAAGCGAAGGTTTATAAATACCGTCTCTTGATCTGATTAGGAGTGATCAGCGGTTGAGATTAGTTTGGAGTTTTGTTTTTAGATTTTGGAAACACAAAGAAGACTGCCAGCTGGCCTGCGCTGGATGGCTGACAGTTCGTGGGGATTAAGGTAAGATACCGCATAAATAGGTTTTGGATTGGATTATTATTTCCTTTTTCATAAGAGAATGAAAAGTAATAGGAATCCCTTAAATTCAAACTATGTTATTTTAATAAATATTACCAAAGAAAAAAAAACAAGGAAACATTTGCTTTCCACGTCATTATGCCCCTATTGGGTGTGGAGATTGAAATCAATTTTGATAAAAGCGAATTGAATATGAAGTTGAAAAATAATAGATTCTATCAAATCAAATATGTTGTTAAAATTAATTATTGATTTTGACTTCTATAAAACATGGGTCGTCTTATTTCCGCCACATTTTCACTTTTCAGAATAAATTAGTTATTTAAAAAGTTAAACTCGATTCTTCATTGAGGCACAAAAAAAATAATTAAAAAAGTAAAATCAACACAAAACATGAATCAAATAATGATTGACTAATCATGGACAATCATGGGATAAAGAGAACAAATTCATTCATTTATTAGAACATCAAATATAACTTTTCTCACTAACACAATTTCCTTCTACTAAAAATAAAAAAGTTCAACATGCGCCTGGATGAAGCCCATATTTGATGCACATTCTTAAGGAAATAATTCATTTTAAATAGTAATGTGATCGAAAATATGTGGTTAAAAAAGAAAGAAAAATTTTGAACTGGCTTGTAATATCATTTTATTGAAAATTGTGTGGTTGAAAATGAGCATAGAAAGAAAAAGAAATTTAGAATGTGGATCAACCAGGCCGAAGTTTGTCACTAAATATTTCTAAATAAGCAAGGTAAATGATAAATACATAAGATCGACAAACATTTTCCCCACATTAATATGATATTTATACAAAAATCGTTATTAGAGACGATATGTGTTAATTAATTATTGGATTAAAGATGAAAGTGTAGCAAAAAAGTTGGAAATATTAGTGCAAAATTTGAAGACTTTCACTACAATTAAAAATGTGGTAAAAAATTAACTAGTAGTGTGGTGTGAACATAATTGAACACCCTAAAGTGGAAATTCATTTCCATTGTTGTAACGAAAGAAATAACAGCAAAGCCAATTGTACCGGAATTGTCTTTACCGAAGTGCTACATACACTCACATCCATGGGTCCAATGGTAATAAAAAAAGAGCCATGCTAGGGAGCCCGAGTTTGCACCCAGGCTTTG